TTCTACATCAACATGTGTCCCCTCTTCTTCATGTCTCTTCTTCATCAACATGTGTCCCCTCTTCTTCATGTCTCTTCTACATCAACATGTGTCCCCTCTTCTTCATGTCTCTTCTACATCAACATGTGTCCCCTCTTCTTCATGTCTCTTCTACATCAACATGTGTCCCCTCTTCTTCATGTCTCTTCTACATCAACATGTGTCCCCTCTTCTCCATGTCTCTTCTACATCAACATGTGTCCCCTCTTCTTCATGTCTCTTCTACATCAACATGTGTCCTCTCTTCTTCATGTCTCTTCTACATCAACATGTGTCTCCTCTTCTTCATGTCTCTTCTACATCAACATGTGTCCCCTCTTCTTCATGTCTCTTCTACATCAACATGTGTCCCCTCTTCTTCATGTCTCTTCTACATCAACATGTGTCCCCTCTTCTTCATGTCTCTTCTACATCAACATGTGTCCCCTCTTCTTCATGTCTCTTCTACATCAACATGTGTCCCCTCTTCTTCATGTCTCTTCTACATCAACATGTGTCCTCTCTTCTTCATGTCTCTTCTACATCAACATGTGTCCCCTCTTCTTCATGTCTCTTCTACATCAACATGTGTCCTCTCTTCTTCATGTCTCTTCTACATCAACATGTGTCCCCTCTTCTTCATGTCTCTTCTACATCAACATGTGTCCCCTCTTCTTCATGTCTCTTCTACATCAACATGTGTCCCCTCTTCTTCATGTCTCTTCTACATCAACATGTGTCCCCTCTGTGGAAAGAGACTCTGAAAGTTTCAGGAACAAAGATTTTCTCTCTTTTTGATCCATTTCTATAAAAACCTGTCTGAAAATGAGCTGATCATATTTTGGCCACTTTATGATGTCATAACGATGTGTTGTCTTGTGTAACCATTAGCCAATCACCAACCAAGGTAACCCCCCCCCCCCCCCCCCCCCCCTATCACCTGAATCTCCTCCTAGAGCACCATTGAGTTATTTGTAACCACATCTCTCTCAGAGGGGCGTGGGGAGGGGCTCCTTATTTTCATCTAAAGTAACAGACAGAGAATCAGCACTTTGGAAACAGGGCTGAAACAGAGGGGATTATGGGTAATGCTGCAATGATCTGTTTGGTGTTTCAGCCAATCAGAGACAGGCTCTGGATATATCTGAGACCTGTGATATATTGATGAAAAACAGTATCATAGGGGAAATTAATGGCTTAATACGATTTAAACTTCAAGCCCCCAAAATAAAGAAGGTATACTTAGGAATAAAACACAACAGCCACAAATTAAACTTCAGAAAAGAGACCAGAACCAAGGGGACCCAAGGACAATCAGATCCAATAAAAAACAGCCCGGAGGATAATAAGAACCGATCCAGAAGGCGGTCAACGTGAACAAATCTAAAAAAGAGAGGGAACAGCAAAGCCCAGACCCAATTAGTCTGAACATAATTTAGCCCCGGCCCGACTCGAAACGAAATGAGGGAAAGGAGGAGACATTGAAGAGAGAAAAAAGGTTCAGGTGCGTTAAGAGAGCAGGGGAATAAAAGGAGATGGAATCGATGGGATTGAAAAGCGAGAGGAAGAAATGAGAAAGGGGCGATGAGGAGCGCAGGAGAAATGAAAGTAAAATGGATGGAGGATGAGGGAGAAGGCTATAAAGGAATACATCTGGTTGTATTCTGGCTGCTGGGCACTGAGCTGATGGAAGTAGATGAGAGGGTTGATTTAAGGAGACATTGACCTCTGACCTCACTTACAAGAACAGTCACACAGCCTTTTATATTCGCTCGTACTGAATGAATCCAATCTCAGTCCATGTACAAATCCCCTCGTGTGTAAATGAAAAGAAGGGGAAAAGCTACATAAATAATTAATCTTGGAAAATAAAAAATGATTACGTTATCCTGATTGTAAATGACGTAACAAAGTTGCCTTGATTAAAAAGAATAACACAATTAATTTCATAGTTAAATTCAATAAATAAATACTTTATTTCATGTAATTATTTCATGTAATTATAATCGTTAAAATATGGCATGATTTAATACAGTTGTGTTTGATATGTTACACCAATAAGTGTTGTTTCTTGTGCCTAGGAACTAATGCTTGTTCATGCACTGGTACTGCGTGTTTTGTTGATGCACTGAACTCAACGTGGGTGGATGTCTTTTATTGAAGCTCAGCTGCAGTCCTTCACACAAAGTTATGCAGAAAAGGAACTTTAAAGATTCATCTCCTTTCACGACAAGCGGCCAACGAGGTAGGTGTTTCATGTTTTCATGTGGGCGTCACGTCCTATTTTCATTCATATATGTGTAGCACACTATGCTAATGTGTTTGGCTACGTATATGTTGTTCGTTGGTGTAGTTCTCACGGCGTAACGGAAGAAAGGAGGCTACAAGATCAAAACTCCAAGAATAAGCGCCCGTTTTAAAGAACCGACCTGTGTCTGTGTCGTGAAGAGAGTGATGATATAATAATATATAATATATTCTGTAATGGAGTTAAAACAGAAACACTTTTCTTCTTTATTCCATCATTTTGAAGAGTGGCCTTGTTGTCTTTCTCATGTCTGATAAGTTCACAAACCTCTGCCAAGGCCATGTACGTATCTATGTGTTATCTTTGTATCTATACTTAATAAATAAATACTCATACTGATAGTGACACGCATGAAGCGGCTTTTTGCCATGCAATGCTTCAGGCCCTATTCCCTTTTAGGTTGTCCCTTCCCTCTCCTGTATAATATAGGTTGTTGTGCATGTAAATGGTCTGCAAAGGGTCAAATCCCTGTTTCCTCCACAGGGAATTTCTGTAACACTGAATAAACATTCATAATTTTTATTCATTTTTAAAAAAAATGCTAACGCACTTTAGCACAGAATTCAAAATAAAGATACCTTTATTACTTATCGAAACTGCACATACAATATATCCGATTAAAGCTGAGACTCCACAGATTATTTAAGTATAGTATCTAAGCGATCCGATCTCACAACAGGGTAAGCAAACACAGACATCACAACACGTACCTTTTACGGAGCTTTTACGGGAGATCGTCTCACCGTAGCTGTCAATCTGATCAAAAGACGTGTTCAATGGCATTAAAACGAGAAAGAAAAAACGCGGCTGAATCGGTTGATCCATAGGTTGATAATGTATCTGTGGCTTTGAAGCAATTGTTTATAATCCATAATTCCATTTTAATGTAAAAATCGGAGCACAAAAGTTAGCTCAGACCGGAAGCAGCAGCCACTCTGGTGGCTACCATTAGCAGCTAACTTTTGCTCTGCAATATTTACATAAAAATGGAATTATGGATTATAAATTAAATCATTTTTTTATACAGAGACGTTAAAAACCTATGGATTAACCGATTCAGCCGCATTTTTTCTTTCTCGGTGTAATGCCATTGAACACGTCTTTTGATCAGATTGACAGCTACGGTGAGACATCTCCCCTCGAAGCTACGTAAAGGTATGTGTTGTGATGTCTGTGTTTGCTTCCCCTGTCCGAGTTTAGATCACTCAGTGATGATACTATATACCTAAATAATCTGTGGAACCTCAGCTTTAATCAGATATCTTGTAAGTGCAGCTACGATAAGTAATAAGGGTACTTTTATCTTGAGTTCTGTGCCAAAGTGCGTTAGCATTTTTCGCTCAGGGGTCATTTAGATGCTTCTTATGAGACTTGTGTTTTGTTTTGGTAAAAATGGTTTGTATCGTCAGTTAGCTGAGATTATTTCCGTTAATCTGGTATAACACATTAATAGGTTCTTACATATTACGATCCCCTGAGACACTGTCGTGAAAGAAAAAAGTAAAGTACCCGCCGGGACTTTGGGGTTTAACAGGTTAAAAAAACGCAATATATACCGCAGGGGGGGGAAAAATCGCGATGTCAGTTTTTTTCAATACCGTGCAGCCCTAATTCATAAATCACTATCTGTTGCTAAAATAAGGTAAAAAAAAAGGTTTTGCTTGGCGTGCTAACATTATGTTAATTAGCTATGTCTTAATACTAGGGTTAGGGTTAGTTGAGCAGGCATTAGGGCTGTCCCGAATACCATTTTTCGGGCTCCGGATATTCGGTAGTAATCAGCAGCGAATATTCGTTCCGCGCGGGGGGGGGGGGGGGGGGGGGGTGCGTAGTAATCAGCAGCGAACCGCTTCCACAGGTGTATTTTCATATCTACATATAAAGACGGGGAACGTTAACGATTATGTTTATGGTTAAGTGTTAGCACCCCCCGAAGAGGCACAAGCTCTTACGTTGTTGATATTGGAGATTTCAATAAATAAAAAACGAATATCTGAATAATAAAATTGAAACCCGAATAGTACTCCAACGAACGAATATGTGGATATTCGGATATTCGTGTACAGCCCTAGCAGGTATTTGCTCATATTCCAAAGCATCAATAATCGATAACGGTATTTTAAGATGTGATGGAATACGTTAAGTAGTAGATGATTGTTAATCTCCGGGCTCAAATGCCAACACTTTCTCAAATTAAGAAATCTTTCACCAAACACTAATCAGTTCTCCCTGAGCCTGTGGAAGAACTTTCCATGGCTTCATTTACTCAACTGAGTTATATACTTCATATACAATGAACTTCTTTAAAGAGCTGTACGTACTGTAACCTGTTTGAAGCACTACAGTAGGGTTAGGGTTCATTTAGCAGGAATTGATGGATAATGGTGTTTCAAAATGTGATGGAATACATTAAGCAGTTTGATGATTGTTAATCTCCTGGGCTCCATTGCCAACATGCAACTCAGGACGATGAAAACACATTCAAACGAGGCCCATTATTTGCTGGCAGATTTTCTCCCTTTCATTCGGTTGGAACCAGCAGAAGAACACAGCGTTACTGGGCTCTGAAACCACGTCAACAGAGATGAATTGATTCTTGTTCCCACATGATGGCAACGTGGAACATTGGCAGGTTAAATGCATAAAAAGAAGGGGGCTTTAGTCGAGTACTTACCACCTAAAGCTTGCTTCATTACAAAATCCATGGTTGCTGCTGATTCGTGTGGTTGATCTTCTCAAAACCAAAGAGAGCTGAGCATGTAGCCGCCGGATCTCTGGGAGTCTTTGTCCTTCTCACTTTCCCCTTCGAATGTTGGGATGAAGAACGTCTTCTGGACCTGAGAGAGAAGAAGTTAGTTAAATAAATATCCCGTGAAACCTTAGTTTTAAAACACATATTATTACATGAAAGTGTTGGGCTTCTGTTGTGTCTTCTGAGGCAGAATGCATGTATATATCGACTATCATGACTTTGAGAAAGAGATAAGAATAAATGTAGAAATTGACTGTAAAATTCTGGATGACTTTAAGAAAGAGACCGGAGAAAACACTTTCTGAGGTCGACTTGTTTCACTTTCAAGAACAAAAATTAGACATCTACAAAAAACAGAACAAACAGGTTTGCAGAGAGGAAAGTTATTTAAATGTTTATCTCATAAATTCAGGACTGTATATTTTTATCAGGAGCCACTACAGCTGCATTTACCTCTATGATCGATTTCTGTGGGCCAGGATATATCTTTCATTTACAAATCCATCTCCAATACGTCAATATTTACACCAAAAGCGAGAGACAGTAGATTACGCTGATGTTAAGACAACAGATAATGTGATCTTCTTAACACTGTCCACCCGAGACAGGAATCCCATTCTGTGAAGAGCACGGATCAATACTGAGGCCATTTATGTATCTACTCACAGTCCCACATCTGTCTGAAACTCAATACAATGGATCAGTCATCTTCTATCGCTGACTGGGGATACATATGTCATGGTAAATGAAACCATGTGGTCTTCTAACTCCTTATGACACATTCAGCTTGCATGCTTCTTGATACTTGGACTGAACGTTAAACAATGAATTTGAAAACGATTTGGAGTGCAAAGTGATATTTAAAAACCCATGTCAAATATTAGCGACTGTCTTTAAATGAGAGGAGTAAAAAGAAGAAAAAAAATGTTTTTATACAACTGCATTTGCAATAAAATGCAACTTGCTTTAGACAGGAAGTAAACACTAGCAGGAACACAGTTTGGGCTCTACAGTGTTTAAAGAATGGTTCATGGAAAAGAAAATGTGAACAGACTTGGACAGTTACAGAAAACCTCGATCAGTGCTGCCGTCGTTTGAAGTTACGTTTCGGTCACCGCAGCTCTAGTCGTTGTTACGCAGTAGAACAGACTAGTTTCTCTTAGCTGAAGCAACACGAAGATAAACAACACCCTGAAACACATTATCTTTTACTTGATACAGTCATATCATTAATATCTTATAATCCAGGTTGAGCAGAACAGAAGAAGTCTATTCTCAAAGCTGCCTCCTCTTTGATAAACTCTTCCATTAGTGTCCACCAAGATAGAATCCTCCACATGTATTGGCAAACCAGAACCTCATTTCCATTTTGAAAAAGATCCCTCCTGCACCAAGGTGTCACTTTACCACCAAGGTGTCACTTTGCCACCAAGGTGTCACTTTGCCACCAAGGTGTCACTTTGCTAATATTTGCCAGAGCAGGGATGGGACTGCAGATTATTTTGGGAGGCAACGGGGGAGGAGAGGCCAAGCGGGACAAAAAATCAATTTGTAACTATGACCGAGCGCTTCAGGGGCTGAAGGGCCTCATTTCTACACACACACACACACACACACACACACACACACACACACACACACACACACACTGTGACGGGGTTCAATTCGTCCATTCGATACATGGCTTAGTCGGTTGTTTAAGCTCCAAACAAACTTTATTTATATCAGCAACAACAACAAAATAGCGAACCAGCACAAGTTAGACAACAAAATAAAATCCACAAACAGGCCGTCCATCACTCATTAGAGTAAACATGCTCTGGTTTGCCTTCTCTGCAACCAACTCCCAAACATGTCCCAACTGTTGCCTTCATTGCAACATTCTTCCGAGTGACACAGTCCGACCAGGGCCAAACCCCGTCCCTTTTGACCCCATAGCCCCTCCCACAGGCTCACCGTCAACAGGTGACACAATCAACTCAAAACCACATTTCAACAAAATAATCCGACCCAAATATAAACAGGTTAACCACCTCTTAACATAATCATTCCCCATAATTAAACAAAAGTAAAATAAATAAGAAATTGCATGGTTCATTTGACGGAAGAGAGCAGGAAATGTTTGGTGTGTGTGTGGTGTGTGTGTGTGTGTGTCGGCTGTCAGTGACGGAGTCAGTCACTCTGTGACACCACACACACACACACACACACACACACACACACACACACACACACACACACACACACACACACACACACACACACACAGAACACAACTTCACTAGGTTAACAAATATACTCTGATAAACAATACAACACGTTGATTGATGTGCTTTTATTTATGTCTTAATGTGTGCATATGTGTCTGTTGATTGTGTATATATAGAATATACATAATTGTATACATATTTTTATATATATTTGTATTTTTGTATTCCTCGGGATAGTGGGAAACGGTATTTCGATCTCTGTCTGTACACACAAACTGAAAGGTTGACACACTGAACCTTGAGCGAGGAGAGGAAACTGGAAACATATGTGTGTGTTTGTGTGTATGGATAAAACAAATAAAACCTATGTATAAATGTGTGTGTCTGTGTGAGTGTTATTAAACTGAGTTTCTGTAAATTGCAAGCAGGTCAAGGATGGATTTGTACAGGTTACATTTCATTACCAAATAAAAACACACACTGAGGTTTTGTGAAAAGAGCCTTGGACTCGTGCTTCCTTCTTTAAAGCCGTGACCTCATATTGAAACCTTACAGAGATAAATCACAGTACAGTGGAGTGTGTGTGTGTGTGTGTGTGTGTGTGTGTGTGTGTGTGTGTGTGTGTGTGTGTGTGTGTGTGTGTGTGTGTGTGTGTGTGTGTGTGTGTGTGTGTGTGTGTGTGTGTGTGGTCAGGCAGCAGAACATTTATCTTATCGTTACAGACTCAAGGAGACACTAATGGAATAAAGGGAAGATGCTGCTGTCAGACAAGAACATCTAGAAGGAAATGAAACACACACGCACACACACACACACACACACACACACACACACACACACACACACACACTTGTATTAAGGGCATACAGTTCCAAACCTTGACATTAAAACCCTGAATCTGTCCAAGAGTTCTTCTCAGAACTGATATTACATTGTCTATGTTTATTTGACTATGGATCTTTCCCTTTGCCATACTAAGCATCGTTGGTGCCACAGATCTTTAATAAACAATCCTA